AAAAAAAATTGCGAATATTAATTTCGTAATTCTTGAATGAAGACACAAATGTTTCCTGATGGTTGTGTTTAGTGAGTAGGTGGGGGGATGGGTGAGAAAAGAAATAAAGAGACAAATATAATACGATAGGTTAAATAAACTTGGGTAACACAAAGGGAGAAGTCATAATATCAGAACGATCCTCCTTGGCCGTGACGTAAAAAAGAGGCCTGCCGTATCCATTTGTTTCTAAAACTCATTTGATGATTTGGTTTTCTAAATTTGTCGTCTTCTCTAAGATTTGATTAAAATCCTTTAGGTTGTTATACTGCTTGACAATAGAACAGATTTTCGTTAATCACTTTATGTATTGTAAAGAAATGAATATGAGTCATTGAATGTTGTTTCCATGCGCGTCGTTCATGGACGCGAATACAGTGCAGTGACAATATTATATCTAGATAATTTGCATTCAAGCGCTAGGTATTTGGATTCTCTATTGAGATGCTTGAAAAATGTTAAACTTTAACCATTTATGACACATAAAACCAGGGGCGGCGATCCTCAATTTTTTTAGAGGGGGAACCTCCCCCTCAAAATTAGAAAAGTGCAAAAAAAAGAATGTATGGCAAGTACTGACAATACTGCAACTCACTTTTAGGCTCTGGAGGGCCCAAGAGTGCAGTGTTTAGACAAATTAAAATGCAAAAATCTTCTCACTCGGTAGCTACGCTCCCTCGCAAAATATCCTCTAAAATGTATAAGTAAATACCAAGAAAAGTGAAGTGTGAAAAAAGTATATTGCTTGTTTTTATACTATAGTTTTGCTAAGACTGTATTTTGTTAATACAAGACAACTTCAAAAACCTGTGAGGGGTTAGTTACTTCCGTCACCTTCACCCCTCTCATTCACTATTACTCCCTCGCACTTGTGGGGGGGGGGGGGGGTTGGGGGCAGTTCCCCCAATGAAATTCAAACGTGGTTTATTTCTAATTCGATACCAGTGATTTACAAATGTTGCTGAAATGGCATGATATTTCCCTGAGCTTCAGGGGGCTATGCCCCCTGGACCGCACTTCAATTAGTGACCTGCGTGCAAGTGTCACAAATAAGGTATCAAAATATGCTCATCTGACCGTGAATATATGCTTAAAACCCCTGAGCTTCATAGGGCTCCGCCCCTTGACACCCAACGCCAATTTATGCTCCACCTTGCTTTACTCTACCTGATCGTAAATACTTTAGCCCCCCCTATTTTGAAAAAAAGTTCCCAGGGTCTGCGTAACATGTAAGAGTGGTGGTGATGCTATTTTTTTTCTGCCCCCCCCCCCCCCCAAAAAAAGTTTTTGCTCATTACGCCACTGCTCTCTCGTCCCTCGCATTTCGTCCCCCCGGTCATGAAAAGAGGTCGCCGCCCCTGCATAAAAATCATGAAGTCCAATGATAAGTTGTATATGCATGGTAATTTGTTAATATTTCGTGCAACTGATATTTCATTTGGAGTGTTGTATATGATTATTGTAAAATATGAGATTTGCCTTAATGACTATGTTTAGCCACGTTTCTTTGCGGTTGAGCGCACGATGTTCAAGGATCCAGCGCTAGGTGTTTTTGATGAATGTTATATACTGTAGATAAATTTATGACTCAGCAATTTGTGGACGATTTTCGACTGTGCTCTGTCCGGCATTAACAAATATATACTCTCTTGGCATTGTGACTTTATACCCGTTAGATGTTTGAAGTTTATTAGGGGAATCGAATTTTGCCCTCCGTCGGATGAACAACTATTATTGAGCTCTACTTGGAAATTTGACCCATAGAAGAAATACGCTGAAACGTAATATGTCTAAGGTACTGAACGAAGTCTTCACTTAGACGCTGGGATATGTATAAAACCACTCCCTTCTATGATGCCGTATATTACAAGAAATCGAAGAAAAAAAAACTGTATAAGATGGGAAACTTTCATAGTTCTGACAACGTAGATGTTCATTGATTCCATTTGAAGTTTTATAGTTACATCTATTAAGATAGATATAAGAAGGAAAATAAACCAATTATATGAATTAGTTTAACGTTATGCACCAGACATGTTAACATTGGCGATATAAATATTGTAATTTATTATCAATAAAAGTTGAATATTATTCTGTTTCTCTTGAAACTTAATATTAGTAAATAAACTGTGTCTTTATTAATTTGTGTACTTCCGTCATAGTAATACATTTTAACTAAATGAACATTAATAATTAGTTGTAGCTGCCTCCACCCCTTTAATATTGATGTTAGGACCTATTTTTCTTTGACCGCTCGAAAGATATTGATAATATGTCATCTGACGAAACTCCTGACAGAGTTGATGGGTTATAAATAAAGTATAGAGAAGAATAAAATTCCCCACCAGGGAATGGGAACAATTCTGACGTAGAGGTCGGGATCGAAGGCGGGGGCCGCCACAATATAAACCAACATTTAAACAAAAGAAGAATGGTTAAAAGGAATACGCGAACATGATCACCTGAATCGCAAACTACACATGCAAATTACAATGAATGCAATTATATTAACACAAAATAATCAAATTAATTTTAACACACAAATCTAGAAACATATTAGCCTTGCTCATTCAATAAAACACCAGTATCAAGTGTATTTGTTTAATCCCAGTGATATTTGTTCTTTAATTTTAAATTCATCATCATGACAGAAGATCGATGGAATCCATTTGGTCATGGAATTTGCTATGCTCGTAACCTATTATGAATACATACCTGGTATTGAGATAGTTGTTTGATAATTAGTGGTAAATCTACAAATTCAGTAATGACATTTTGGAAAATGAAAATATTAGATTTACATAACTAGGCAGCCGACTTGTCATATACAAAATTTTAAAAGATGATCTGGTCATGGCAAAAATTAATTTAGTCTTGATTTTCTTTTGAATTAATGGCAATATTAGTCAGAGTTGATATGTCGTCCATCAGTGTTTTTGTTTATAGGAGAGTTCATTAACAAGAGAGAGAGAGAGAGAGAGAGAGAGAGATATTATATATATATATAGAGAGAGGGAAACATAGAGAGAGAGAGAGACAGACAGACAGAGAGAGAGAGAGAGAGAGAGAGAGAGAGAGAGGAGACAATAATGAGAATTGAGAAGGGAGATTCTCCATAAATGAAATTTTCATCATTATTGTCGTCGTTTACATCGTAATGTGCTTGCGTCTTTCCTCACTTTAAACATAAAACCACATAAGTGGATTAAAGTCCTACACATGTCATCATCCAATGAACGTCGTCATAACAATTAGTTTCACATCATTCAGTGCTCACTTTCTTAGCTTTGCACCCCCTCCCCCACTCTTTCTCTCTTCCCTCCTCCCCCTCTCCATCTCTCTCTCTCTCTCAAATTTTCCTTTTAGAAGTCGGTTCAATAAACATTGTAAGTTATGTTTTCGTTTGTGGTTTTTATACCATAAAGCGAAGCACTTCTTGCATCAATTTATTTGTTTAGTTAATCACCTTGTCATGCGATAATTACTGTACACGGTACATGTACAGTGTAGTTTCCATTCAAAAGTGCACTTGTACAAATACATCAATTCATTTGGAATAATTTAAAATGAAATATTCATTACTTTGTCTGTCATGACATCATATTTCATGTCTAATCAAGTTAAAGTGTTTCAATAGACAGAATTGTTGTGTGTACAAACTTTTGAAGTATAGATCGATTTCATGACCCCAATATTTTGAGTAAAGCCCCATCACACCAAACTAGTTCTCACTACGTTCTCGAAAATGTTGCCAAACGGGCTCAAACTGTGTGCGAACGGAGTTGAACGTATTTTAGTAACTGTTTGCGACATGTTTAAGGACTTTATAGACGGGCTCGGACTGGACTTATGTCTCTAATACGATCCTAGTTCGTTCATTAACAGTCCACAATACGTCCAACTCGTCTGTACCCGTCCACAGTCAGTTCATATCAAGTTCAGATCGGATAAATTTGATATTTCCAAGCAGTCCAACTAGTTTGGAACTTGTTCTAACTAGTTTATAACCCAAACAACCCCGTTCAGAAACAGTTCAACTCGTCCTCATCTTGTTCTTAATGCGTTCGAACGCGCTTATATCGTGCTTTGCAATCCGGTCCTGGTTCGAGGGATATACAAACCCAGCGCGTTCTTCCTTATTGATGCTAGACCGCATCACGTGGTAACACGTTCCTAGTAGGATCGAAGTACGGCAATTTCGTTCGTAGTACGTCCATCTCGTTAAACTCGTCTTCTAACCCTATCCGTTTCTGATAATCGTCTCTCACTTTCTTCCTACTATACGTTTTTGTCATTAGTCGTATTTGGAACTTTAAGTATTTTCTTTAAAAAGTGATGTCAAATAAATCACATTCCTTTTCTCCAAACTGCAAATTCCCTTTTTAAGGCTTCTTAGTATTTCACATCAGAGCATTGAGAAGCGATGAACTTTCAAATCCTTTGCCTGTTTTTGCTTTCTAAACTTAAACACAATTTAATAACCGAGCGGTATGTCGATAGGGATGGAATGATACTACAATCTGATACAAAATATTAACACTCTGTTGGAATAAACCCTGTAAACCAAACTACTCTTGCTATTTAAATCGTTTCTTCTTTATATACCTGTTTTTGTTTCTTCATATTTCCTCTTCCTCACAATCTTTATAACAGCACTGTATTTTATAGCCCTTTGTTGATAATTAAATTGAAATGTTCATTAGTGATAATATTTTAATACACAAAAGTGCATAACCAGAAATGTTGTGTGTCCCATACATTTTCCATTGAATTTTGAGTCTATAATGCTCAGCATGTTTGTTTTTTCAGCATGTTGTTTGTATAGAGATTGAATTCATTGTCTAGGTCATTATTTACCCAACCTTAAAAGGGTATGATTGTATAAACGTGCGTAATTTCGTGGGCGGACGAGCGCGTCCTTAAAGGCGTACGAATTGAGAGCCAAAGAAGGCGAGAACGCAGGCAGTGGACTAGTGAGTGGCAGAAGAGGAAAAGCGAGAAAGCTGAGTAACAACGGAATCAGATAAGACGGACAGGGATCAGTAGAGCACATAATAGAACAAATAAGAAGTAACAAGAGTTGTTACGACTTACAAGAAGAAGAAGGAGGAGAAGAGGAAATACGGGAGAAGAGGGACAAAGAAGAAGAAAAAGTAGTGGCAGGTTAAGAAGAAATACGCTGTATTTCGAAGATATTTGACGAATTCTGATATAGTTGGCAAACTTATCACTCTCTAGGATGATTTGGAAAAAGCAAGTTGCTATTTTCTTCTGCGTAGCTGTAATCTATTCAGAGGCAGGTCAAAGTAAGTTCATAATACTATTTATATTCAACTTTCCAAAAATGAGATGTTTGTATGGTACTTAGGTTTCTGTACTTGTCTTTCGAAGCTTGTTACATAGATCTCATCACGCTAATTTCTTAAAGTAGTAACCCGAAGAAAATTCACTACAACTGATAATTATGGACAAATTACATATCGATGGAAAGATTTTCTCTTGAAAAACACTAATAATCTGCTAAAAAATCATATAGATATAATGGAAAGGCAAGCTCTGTATAGTGGCGTCACATATTACTAGACAAACACACCACAAGTTAGATAGACTTGCACTCGTTCACTTATAATATCGGCTATTTGCTCTTCACTGTTTTGCCGATCTTTTGCATCATGTGGCATTCCATTCAGGAGTGTGTTATCTTGAAACGTTATAGAAAACATTTGCAGGATTATTTACTCTTTATGAACAAAATATAGGCTATGCCCCGCTTATTGTTGGCCATGAACCGGCTGCGCTAATTTTGAGCACGTTTAAAATAAGCGTAGGGAGAGCATGCAGCTTCCCGATCTATAGGAGATCCCACCCCAACCAACCCACGCGCATGGAGATCCTCCCACGTATGGCTCACGATTGGCACGATTGGCCACGCTCTCGGCCACTTATTCATCGTAGTAGGAGCGACGTATATGTGTGACCGGGATATAAGAAGCTTCGGAAATTCATTTGCTTAATATTCTGGCCACAATTTTTAGTGATGTTTTAATATCAGAAATTTGCAGTGCATGGTTTTTGTTTCGTCTCAAAGGCCGTCGATTTTCTTGCAAGGAACGTCAGAGTCTCTAAACGTTCACCTTATTTTTCACTGAGGTTAGGCTGGTCGGATCGGGTGGTTTTGACTGCTGCATGCTGCTAGCTATGGTCAAAACCCAAAAAAGTGGCACGGGCACCGCTTGTTTTAAGGGCATCGCTTTTAGTTTTAACGCGGAGTTACAATTCGGGCGGCGCCAGGCCCTGCTAACGTTTCACTCGGCGCCTAAAATACGCTCGGTGCCCCGGCGGTCGCCGCCCGGGCACCGACCTAATCGAGCGTTCGCTGTCGGGTGATTTAGGTCAAAAATTAATGGAGCTCTCACACTCTGCCGTGTAGGCCTACCGTCCACCTGCCGGGCTATTAAAAAAACAGCAGAGTCCAGAACGTTGGGTTTTGAGCGAACTTGTCCCCGGCCGCAAAAAAAAATTCATAAAATTAATCTTTTCACCGTTTCGTTGCCATCTTCTGACCGTTCCCACCGGTCGCATACCGGGTGTTGAACGTGCTTCTACCGTCTTCACCGTCCAGATTGACTTTTGTTGAAAATTTTGGCCGTTTCCATACCGGGTCTCGAACGTGTGCACCGGATTTGTAGCAGCCACCTACCAGTCACTTAGCGTCCCCTCAGCGCTCGGAGCGTCCTGTGAGCGAGTCCCCGGACTGCTGACGTTAATGACACGTTCACAACCCGCTTACAACCCGTTGCAGACGGTGGATTTTTTTTTTGCCCGTTCATCACCGTTCTGTAACGGGTTATGAGCGTGTTGTGAACGTGTTCATACAGTGTGACCGTTTTCATAACGTATTCATACCGTCCTCATACCGTTCAACACCGTCCTATTGCCGCTTACTTGCGGCCGGTGCCAGCCGGCCAAAGTTTTGAACATGCCCAAAACTTTCGCCGGGTCCCACCGGGTGTAAAGTGACTCTCACACTCTGCCGTGTAGGCCTACCGTGTGCCACCGTGCGCGAAAATGTCTGCGGACGGTGGAGAACGGCGAGGGCACACGGTGGTTCGTTATCAAAGCGGGCAACACGTTAATAGGGCGTTGGCGCTTATTTACACCCGGTGGGACCCGGCGAAAGTTTTGGGCATGTTCAAAACTTTGGCCGGATGGCACCGGCTGGCCGACTGACCGTTGCCGTTCAAATCGGGGTATTTATGGCAGTCGTGTCATGACGTCAGCAGTTCGGGGACTCGCTCACAGGACGCTCCGAGCGCTGAGGGGACGCTAAGAGACTGGTAGGTGGCTGCTACAAACCCGGTGCACACGTTCGAGACCCGGTATGGGCCCGGTATGGAAACGGCCAAAATTTTCAACAAAAGTCAATCTGGGCGGTGAAGACGGTAGAAGCACGTTTAACACCCGGTATGCGCCCGGTGAGAACGGTCAGAAGATGGCAACGAAACGGTGAAAAAATTAATTTTATGAATTTTTTTTTGCGGCCGGGGACAAGTTCGCTCAAAACCCAACGTTCTGGACTCTGTTGTTTTTTTAATAGCCCGGCAGGTGGACGGTAGGCCTACACGGCAGAGTGTGAGAGCTCCATAATTCCAGCGGCGAACGAGCAGGCTTCAAATCGGTCGGTCGCCGCTCTGAGTTGTGACCATAGCTTTAGATCAAGTGTCATACGGCATGGCGATAATTGTAGGTTTTTCAAATAAATTCATAAATACGGATACATTTCATGGAATTGCGCACAAAATGCCATTCAATTGACACAATTGGATGTTAACATGCAGATTGACGCAAATTATGTGCATATGCATCAATGTTATGCCCGTTAGTGTTTATATGGCATTTGATGAGTTTCATAAAGATGTATAAGTAATATTTTGTGATGAATTCAGGTTCGGGGAGACGCTATCATTTCTGAGAAGGGCGCATGCGGATGAAACAGGTAATAAAAACGCTGCCATAAAGGACTTGATTTGGAAAGGTATTCTACAAAAAACTTTTGTTTAATTATCAAAATAATAAGAAACTTCACTAGTGGAGCATATTTTGCTGTTTTATTTCAGCTCCTTTTTGTTATGTCTTTCTTTTTGTTTGCATTGTTCATGTTTCTGTTTTTGTTTCGTAGTTGCTAAGCACCTTCCGCGATGTTACATTCTAAATGTTAAGGAGACAACATCAACTTCGAGAGAGAGTGACTTTAATTGGAGTGGAATTGACTTAAAAAGATAGTAGAAACTATACTCAAAAGCTTTATTCAATCACTACTTTGGAGCGAATTTCAACTACATTTTAAAGTATTTTAAAGGAATGACTCCTATTACTCCTCGGAATGAAATCTTACTTCTATCATATCTTGTGCCCTAATCAAATCTTTATCGACACCAAACCTAGTGATTCTTAGTTATTCGGGGTAATACAATATTTTGCTCGGTGTTCTGTCGGTCTGGTGTCGGTCTCGTTTGTGTGACAGAGGTATTAGTAACACTATTAAACTGACTCCACACCGTCTCGATACCGACCAATGCACGTCCATTTTGACCGGAGACACATTAATGTGACCGACACCGAACCGACAACAAATCGAACAAAACAATATACCTATGTCACACCGCTAAACTGACTCCGAACCGACCAAACCTTGGTTATTCGGGGTAATATATTTTTTGCTCGGTCTGCTGTCGTTCTTGTTAAATAATGTGACTGCGTATCATATTATCCCAAATGTCCAAGAGTCGATTGGATTGAAGTCGGTGTGGATCCAGTTTGATTGTGTGACCGAGCTGTAATGTTAATGTAAATATTTGATCTGTCTGGTATAATTGTGATCTATCACTGATTTGAAAAGGTATTTGATTTGATTTGATATGGTTTATTGATTAAAAAAACATTCAAATAGCAGCCAGAGGCTGAAACAAATTGAATTTACAAAAGATACATTCAAAAGCATAACATATACATATAAATGGCGATATACAATAAATAATCAAGGATATGATCAACGAAAAGAAGAGAAACAAGAGAAGAGATTGAAACGGATGACTAAAGGATAATTGAAGGAGAACGATCGCGTAGCAGAAGACAATAAGACAAATGTAACAGAAGATTAGAAGGACTGGTAAGATAATAACAGAGAGGGGAGAGAGAGAGAGAGGGCATAGAGAAATGAGAAAGAGAAGCTGGCGAGCAGACTACACAATAAAAGGGACAGATAAAGAGTAGGACAGATAAATAGGCTGAAATGGAGATCTAGATATATAATCGGATAAAGTGTAATAAACTATAATACAAATATAATACCGTACAATGTAAATGCAGCATAATTGTTGAGACCAACTTAAACCGACTACAAAATTAAACAATGAATCCTAAAGCACAAACCGCAATGTCATTGATATATTCATTATAGACATTTAAATATAAAAAGCTTTACATAATTAGGCAAAACATGGTTAATACACATGTATTTGCTTCAAGATCCATACTAAGATATATAATTATTATTGAAAATTGAATTTACAAAAAAAAAATAGCTGTTAAAAAAAGAGGACAAATTCGGCAACAAACTAGATGTAAGTAAATAGTATGTGATTGTTAAGTAAACGTGGCCCAATATTCTAACACAATAAAAAGGGAATTTCCCCTCTAGATCCCCGTACAAGCATTGTCATCCGTTTCAAAGCAAAAAGTATAGTTGTCATGATAACCAAATAATAGGTCCTACGTCAACACCTCTATTTGTTATTTTTTGCGGGAACTTCTACAAAGAGGCTTGCTAGAACCTTTTCATCTACAAGGGCCAAAACAGCCAACTTTAATTTTATTGTTAGCCAAATTGGAAACACACCTATTGCCAACACAATGGTATAATGCAAATATGCATGATGGCTAGGCAGCGTGCTACAACTCGTCATAGAAAATATGTTAACTGTATATGAAAAGAATATATATTTATAAATAGAACAATGAGCGCCATCCATGAATAACCAATGTTGAATGGTTTGTTTATATTATACAAATAATGCACTGTTGCGAGTGTGTGAGCGCAGGGCCGGTGCACGAAGTTTAGTCAGTGCACATAGTTATAATGCACGCGCCCACAGGGCAAGTGCGTTATCGCACTAGAACGCTTTAGCAAAGACGACGGAAGCAAAGACGACGGGATAATTCACTCAACCGAGATTGTCCTGTACTATGCTCCCGTCTTCATTTGTAACCTGTAAATAGAGCGCTTTTGCAAACACGACGGAAGGCAAAGACGAGGGTAACCAAGCGAAACAACCAATCTGCGCTTGCGTGAACCAGAATTTTCTCCGTCTTGTTGATGTTCACGACCGTTCTCGGCCATAATAGCGTTCGTCCCCTAAACACGAAGGAAGAGCTGTATCGCCTTACAATGGACCATTTTCGTAATGTAACCAAATGTAATGCATTAGTCTTTGTAAAGTGCCTCAATACAAATTATTTCATTCACCTGATAAGAAAAATATATTTCAATAGACCAAACTGCATAAAAAAATTATTTCAGTTGAGCCATTCTCCCGTCATCTTTGCTTCCGTCGTGTTTTGCTAAAGCGCTCTTAGACTTAACTGATTGCGCTGGAACTGCCTTAACACAGGAGCGAAATAGTGCATTATTTGTTTTATAAGATGGATCGGCAATATATTCTTACAATATAGTCTAGATCTAGAGTAAAAATAGATATCAGATTTAGATCTAAGTTAGATCTAACTAGATCAAGGCCTAGAATATTCTACATCCAGATCTAGATATTGACAATTATGCACAAATTAACTTTGGTTGAATTACGCGAAAGAGACATCGGCAGGTATCGAGCGTATGTAATCAATTTTTGATGGGAGCTTTTTTGCACGGTGGGAGAAACTAATGAACGCCCACGTGATGTCACCAATCGGACTGCTTAGATTCTAGAACCCGTCTTATAATAATTTATAACATCACTTCAATTTACCATTCTATGAGGTGTCATGTAAAGGAATGAACGCCCACGTGATGTCACCAATTGGACTGCTTAGATTCTAGAACCCGTCTTATAATAATTTATAACATCACTTCAATTTACCATTCTATGAGATGTCATGTAAAGGAAATTTAACCTTCCTACAATTTAATGTCACATTCTATATTTGGGGAGAATATTTGTAAGACAACTTTGAGCCCAACTTTATTTTGTTACCATACATACAAAAAATATCACTTTCGCAAAAAATAAATATATTTGTTATATATTTAAACAAGTAATGATCACTATTAAATGCAGAGGCGTCGCTCCGTGGGGAAAGGGTAGGCTGGTGCTGGGTGTAAATGTGGCACGATGTTCTGTTGAAATATGAAATACAGGGAATTCCCCTGTAGACCCCGTAAAAACACTGTCATTATCAGTTTCAAAGTGAAATGAGTATGGTGGTCATGAGAACCAAATAGGAGTTCCTATGTCAACACCTCTATTTGTCCTCTTTGCGGGCTCTTCTACACAAAGACTTTTCGCATTATTCTTCATCTACCAAGGGTCAAAAAGCCAACTGTCAATGTTAGCCAAAGTGGGAACTTATGAGAGAATTCTGCACATATGAGAAATGTAATAATGATGCATTATCATATCAATCTTTTCAAGAAAAAAAAATGGTAAAATGCAACAAATTTTTCATGGAATTTGAATTATATGTATATGACAATAATGAATATTCAGAAATAGAAGAATGGGCGACATTACGCCATAGTTAACCAATATGAACGATTTTGTTAAATTAAATTTCTATCAGCACCTCATGCCATATGAACGAAATTGAACCTTCCTTTAAAGGCAGTCTTTACTACACTAGCTAGAAGGGATTAGACCACCCAGCGAGCCAGCGTGGTCACTGTAACAGGTGACTATGTCATTAAGTCAGCTCTCATTTAACATAAGAAAAAGAGGATCATGGGGGACCAACAGGCACCGATTGGGGAAGTTTTCTATATAAAGGGAGCAAGTAGCTTAACTCGACTTTTTTTTCTTAAAGCTTATCTGCCATAGTTTACAGGAGGGATTAGACCACCCTACAAGGTCACTGGACAGGTGGCTATCTCATCACCTTAGCTCTCAGTTAACATAAGAAAAAGAGGACCATGAGGGACCAATGGTCACCGATTAGGCATGGTTTGTTATATAGAGGGCGCAAGTAGCTACAAGTAGTGCAGTGGGCCTTTAAAGTGGACTTCTTCCGATCACACTAGCACAAATTTATTATTAAAATGAATTTTGTATATTTTTGGATGCCATTTCAATGAGGTATAATTTAATAATTTTGTTTAATTCCTATCCACTAAGACCACTATATGTCCTAAAGCAACTAAAACTGCTACAGCTTTTTTTTCGAAATATCGAATTAACCAGATAAGAACAGGACTACAATATCTAGACAGGTTTTTTATTTTATACATCATGTCTTTGACACAACATCTATCTGGGACTAACAGTTGGTTTTAGAAGTGTTATACGGCCTGCCCGCTGAATATGTAATATCAGGGGCGGCGATCCCGGGGGACGGGAAGGGGGGACACGTCCCCTCCTCATTTTTTAGGGGGATTGCCCCCCCCCCCACCCCTCTCAAATTTGAAGAAGTGCGCACAATTGCATAGATACAACCCAAACAATCACAACTTTCGTGTTCGCTTTCCACGTAGACGAAGACACCAGCAAACGCAACGGTACTATGACATTGTTGCTTATTTCAGTCGTCGGTGAAAACGTTGCCGAGAAGAAATCCCATAGACTAGTACAGACATTTTCTCCCGGGGAACCATTCCTTTATACATGCTGAAGGTATTGCTAATTTGTATTATTCTCAATTTCAATTTGAAGAATTAAGCCCCCATCACACCAAACTAGTTCACACTACGTTCTGGAACCGTCCTTGGAAATCGTAAAGCGGGTTGTGATCGGGGCCGAATGTGTAAATAATGTCTATAATACGATCCCAGTTCGCTCATAAACAGCTCTCAATACGTCCATCTCGTCTGTACACCGTCCACAGTCAGTTCATATCAAGTTCAGATCGGGTACATTTGCCATTTCCAGGCAGTCCTTACCAGTCCGTAGTCAGTTTAAACCCATTTTATTAACTAGTTCTACCTCGTTCCCAATACGTCCAAACCCATTCTAGTTAGTTCGCCACTTGTTCTAACTAGTTTTAACCCGACCAACCCGTTCAGAGACGGTATAACTCGTCCTTATCTCGTTCTTATTGCGTTCGAGTGTGTAATCCCGTCCTGGCTCGGAAGCTATATACCCTCGGCACGTTCTCGCCGTTCCTCAATAGGGACTTTTAGATTCGCACCAATACAATAGGTCTATGCTACGATCGACGTCCTTTTAATGCACTGTCTTGAATGGACGTCACACGTTTCAGTCCACGCAAATCTAAAAGTCCTTATTCCCGTTCAACTTCAACCATTCAAGCTTTGCAGATCAAGACATTTAAGTGAAGCCCCCATCACACCAAACTATTTCTCACTACGTTCTGGAAAATGTTGCCAGACGGGCTCAAACTGTGTGCGAACGGATTAAAAGTATTAGCAACTATTTACGATCTTTTTTAGAACTTCATAGACGGGCTCGGACTGGCTTGGACGGGAAGAATTCTATTCAATTCAATTCAATTTCGGTTTTTAAAAATAACCCAAATGACATTTCCAAAGACTAACAATATTTGGTTTACATTGAATCATATAAAAATGCATTAAAAACAGTAGATCAATAATTTAAAGTACGACAAAATATCACGAACAAAAGAAAAGGATTGTAAAATATAAAATGGTATATTAGTATCAATAGGATAAGTCTATTATATATTTGAAGAAATTCATGGTGATAATCAACTTGTCAGTGAATTGAGAAAGAAGGAAGAAAGATAGAGTGACAAGTGGAAGAGTGGAAGGGGAAAGGATAAAGATAGATAGCATTTGAAAGAGAGAGAGAGAAGTGAACAAAGGGGAACAAAAGACAAGAGAAAGATGAGGGATGAGAGAAAGAGAGTAAAAAAAGAGTTCAATTTATGACAAAACAATGCAAGCAAATGACCGATAATTGAGTTGAATTAGCTTAATGAAGCATTGTAAAAGTTAAAATGCACATAATACGGAAATGTCAAATGATACATCAATACGAATGCCATTATGGAGTTGTTATAATACTGTTTAACATTGGTAAATGACCTATATATAGGTGAACATTGTTCATGAGTAATTATCACATTGTCAGAAAATTGAGAAGAGGAAATACATGACTGAAATAGAGAAATAGCGGGAGAGGGGAGGAGAGAAAGGAGAAAGAGAGAGAAAAGGTTAGAGAAAGGGAGAAAGGGAGAAGGAGAAAGACAGAGAGAGAGAGAGAGTTCGAATAATGACAATACATTGTTAACAGGTCTAACAAGATTTCAGTTGATTTAATTTAGCAAACGAACAAGAAAGGGAACTGTCGATTGTTTATAGCGCTGAGTTCTGCATCGTGATAACGACAAATGATTATAGTTTCTCAAGCTGCGGCAGGTATTATGGCGCGGTTGTTGCAAGAGATGGCGGTGCCTTGAGGAACCCAGAAGTGATTTCGCAAATCGCGTGAGGATCTCAACACGTCGGCTATCAAGAGATGAAATGTCAAATTGGTGAAGAAGGTCACCATAGTGAGCGTCAGTCGGTTTAACAAATCATGCGAAGAGGTCTCTTCTGTAGTCGTTCAATGTCAGCAGACTGGCACTATTTCCCTTATATTCCCCACTTTTCAGGTCTGCTCTTTCCATTTGGATTAAATGAAGGGGACGAATTCCTACCCGCCACCGTTGACGGCGGGACAAACGAGCTATCAATTGCCGTCGCCTTTCCGTTCTACGATCACGAATATACCAGTCTTTATGTAAGTTCCTCGTAGCTTGAACTAAAATATTTTGTTTGAGAAATCTGTCTAACACGTTACGTGACGTTAAATGTATGAACACATATCATCGATATGAGTTTACGTCACGTTTGTTTATATAATCATCTTAATACAATCAAGGTACCATGAAAATGATAAAGATATCAAACCTAAAAGCCCTTCAACTTCTTTCGAATTTAAAGAGGAAAGACAAGATTTTAGTATTCCAAGCATACTTTACATTGACGACTTACTATGGTATAGGCCAGTCAAAGGGTTAAGTCATCACCACTAACTCCCACTCTTGACCCTTCCCCCTCTCTTTCTCTCTCTCTCTCTCGTCCTATCTATCGTCGTCTTCTTTCTCTTTCCCTACGTGCGTGTGCTTGTGTCTATCTATATCCGTGTGAACTGATAATTGCAATGACGACCTTCGTCATTGCCTTGTTTTCGTTCACATTCTGCCCCATTTATTCTCCTTTTTGCAGTGACGACCTTCGTCATTGCCTTGTTTTCGTTCACATTCTGCCCCATTCTGCATTAATATTCTCCTCCTTTTTTTCCTTATCTTCCTTATCGTCAGGAAATCGCATTCGTTTTGCACATAGTGCTTGTTATTCCCAGTTAGATGCTTTCCTCATGTTCTTTTCCTTTCAAATTTCATAGGCATAGTCTCTAACATCTCCTCAAGGTCACTACATTCTTTGATTCTCGAAATCACTCATGCATAACCGTCCAGGCGCCATTTTGTCCGTTTCTGGTCCATTTTAAGGCCTTTCTTTCTTCCTATCTCCACTATCCTAGATCCTACAACCTTCTAACAAATTCCTCTAGATAGTCTAAGAGCTGTTATTTAATCTGCGACGTATAACCTGCCCTTTAAAATGCCATCTTCGTACTCAAAATTCAAATCTGAAACCGACTCCGTCAAAAATCTCTCAAATTCTTGAAAAATTGACCCCTAAATAATCTAAAACTGCCATAACTTTCTCATATAAATTTCGTTTTGTATTTAAATCTCACAGTATATTTATCTCATGATTGCACATAGCCATGCTCAATTTTACGCTCCAATGGCTTTACAAAACATAAAAAGCGCCCTCTAAAGTTCTGGGAATTGGCTCTCTTTCTGTGGCCGTATCTCCATTATGGCTTTGCAGAACCGTACCTTTTTTGGCTTTAGATACTTGAAGATATGCCCTTTCCAGCCATATACAAAATTATATACCCTAACACTGACCGACTTTCAGAAAAATGCCCTCCAAATTTGCCATTTTCAAGAAAATTCCAAAATAACTTTAACTTGCTCTAAAATGGCGATCTTTATACCTACATCAATGAAACTTTTACAGACACATGTATTTATATACGTGACAACTGTCTGCCAAGTTTGGTAAAATTCGATTATGTCAGCGCAAAATTATCGCCCAAAATGATGTATTTACTATGCATTACGTGATAGCGCGTTTAATGCGTGCAATACATTGTGCGCAGATGACATTGGTGTCAAACTGACCGCAATGAAGTGCCCTTTCGAATGATACCAAGTATGGTATATGTTCACACAGAAAATTTTGAGTAAATCACATTTGAACAAGGGTCACTATACGAATTTCGCCGAGTTTCCGCCCAATTATAACACGTATCAGATATGACGTCATTTTTTAAGACTGTCATTCGGTTGAGTTAGTATGGGCGGCCGTTCGTGCCAAAGCACGCGTCGCAATGTTCATCACGCACCAAATCCTATTGGTTTTGCACGCAGTGCTTGCGAGCCCTTTCTAGATCCCTTCCTCTACTCCAATTCCCTTCAAAATTCGTAGGCGTAGTCTCTAGCATTCCTTCAAGGTCACTGATTTCTTTGTTCTCCGGAAACCCTCATGCGTGACCGTCCAGGCACCATTTTTTTCCGTTTTGGGCCGTTTTGGTGACCTTTCTTTCGCTCTAACTATCTCCACTATCACAAAAGCTACAGACTTCTTACATACTGGATTGTCCGAGAGTAGCTCCTTCGTTTGACACATATAAACATGGCGTCATTGCACGCACATCGTTGTGACACGATTGCATTTCTAGTCCTTGTTTTCCTTATCGTCAGGAAATCGCATTCGTTTTGCATGTAGTGTTTGTGATTCCAAGTTAGGTGCTTTCCTCATGTCCTTTTCCTTCCAAATGTCATAGGCATAATCTCTAACATCTCATCAAGGTCACTACATTCTTCGATTCTCGAAATCTCTCATGCATAACCCTCCAGGCGCCATTTTGTCCGTTTCTGGTCCATTTTAAGGCCTTTCTTGCTTCCTTCCTATCTCCACTTTCCTAGATCCTACAACCTTCCAACAAATTTCTCTAGATAGTCCAAGAGATGTTCTTTAATCTGCGACGTATAACATGCCCTTCAAAATGCCATCTTTGTACTCAAAATTTAAATCTGAAACCGACTCCGTCAAAAATCGCTCAAATTCTTGAAAAATTGACCCCTAAATAATCTAAAACTGCCATAAGTTTCACATATAACTTCCGTTTTGTATTTAAATCTCACAGTATCTTTATCTCATAATTGCACATAGCCATGCCAAATTTCACGCTCCATTTGTAAAACAAAAAAGCCCCCTCTAAAGTTCTAGGAATTGGCTTTCTCTCTGTGGCCGTATCTCCATTATGGCTTGGCAAACCCGTACCCTTTTTTGGATTTAGATACTTGAAGATATGCCCTTTCCAGCCATATACAAAATTATATACCCTAACACTGACCGACTTTGCGAAAAATGCCCTCCAAATTCGCCATTTTCAAGAAAATTGAGAAATAACAGTCTAGGACCCTCGGCCCAGCGGTGGCAAAAAGAGGAACAGGAAAAGGAAGGACAGTTATGAAAATAACTTTCTTTCCTTGAAATTTTGCAGTGACATTCCGAGTTGCAATACGCAGGGCACCTCATGGCCGGATTTTTGAAATTCGTCAATGGGGCCATTTAAGACGCCATTTTGTCCTATAAATTTATTTTACATCACGTGTTTCGATAGGATTATCATAGAAACAAAGAGAGTGGTTTACAATAGCAACCATGCAATTATCTTTCTAATGATACCAAATACGGCCCATAAAGACACATAAAGAGAGAGAAATTTTTTTTTTTTTAGCTCCGGTCATGATACAGATCCTGTACGTTTTCCGCCCATGTATTACACGCATTGTCTATGGGGCATATCGGGCTCACGCTTTTGGCCCCCAGAACGATCTTTATTGCAATGATGAACATGCACCAAATCTCATTGGTTTTTGCACGCAGTGCTTGCGAGCCCTTTCTAGGTTCTTTCCCCTATCCCAATTTCTTTCAAACTTCGTAGGCATAGTCACCACCATCCAATCAAGGGATCAGCTATCTCAAGGATTTTGTGCGCTCGCTATTTCGTGCTCGATCTCTACAACTTTCCTTTTCTCTCCTCTCCTTCCCTCCAAACGCAGCCCACATTTTTTCCCTTTTTTTTTTCTTCTTCTTTTTCTGTTCTTTCTTCGTCATGTAATTACTTTGTTACGTCTTCTTGTTTACAGTCATTACGTGTTTTAATAAATGTTCTCCGTCGGCCACTATTCTTCTTTCATCGATTATGTATTCCATATTTTGTTCACACTCATTATTATCTGAGGGGTCCACAATTTACAAGCTTTGCTTTTCAGTGGACCTCTCCATTTCCTCAAAATATAAATGCAGTTAAATTTTAAAATTCATTTTTTTGTCTTACTAAAATGTATAAATTATTATTAAGATTTGTTTATTACAAATGTAAATATGTTTTGTATACATTTTACATTGTATTCGTTATTATGTATTATATTTTGTTGGAAATGAAAAAATAAAAATGAATGAAAATGAAATGAATCAAGGTCACTGTTGAGGCCTTTCTTTCGCCCTACCTATCTCCAATATCACAGAAGCTACAGACTTCGTACAAATTGCTCTGGATAATCCGAGAGAAGCTCTTTCGTTTGACACGTAGAAACATGGCGTCATTGCACGCACATCGTTGTGACACGATTGCATTTCTAGTTCTTTCTTCTTTTTCCTTCAAGTTGTATCCGTTCCTTTCTGGCAACTTTTGATATGTGCTTTCCTTCTCATTTGTCTATAATGTTCCCTCCTTGCTACTAAAATGTCTTACCAATCGCTTTCACATAAATTGTGTACAGGTCAACAATAACGGTCTCATCTCGTTCTTGGAAACATTTTCTCAATATACCCCTGAACCGTTTCCCCTCGCTATTGACCGACGCCTTTTGGCACCATTCTGGGCTGATGTTAACACAGAGATCGGCGGTAATGTATCCTATCGAGAAGTCTTACGATTCGCCCAAAACGACGGCATATTCCTCGAAGCCGATGGAATTATAAGAGCATCATTCGTTGACATGAGAGATTTTGTGTCGTCATGGATGTTCATCGCGACCTGGGACAACATGTCTTTCTACGGTAGTTCTCCTGCCGCCCACGTGAGTACAATGGCTGAATCGATTGTTCGCCACAGGACCTATTAATTTATCATCTGTCGCCACCTTATCATTTTTTAGATACTGTTTCATGGTAGGGTGATAAAGTGAACCAACAAAATAAATCACCCTGCTACTTTTCACGAGATCGGTATCCAAAGCACAATCCCCGGCATTTTAAGGAGTCTTGCAGTTATTTGAGGATATTCCCAGTCCTCCAAATTGTGACATAATAAAGAAATTACAGCAGATATTTGAGCCAAATGCAAACCTTCTAGCAATCATTGAACTTGACTAATTATGTAATTTGGCCCCGTAAACAATACTACATAAATATTATACTTTGGTCTGTTTGTATTTTTCACTAAATGAAACACAAAATTGCGTGCCACTTTTATTCACCATTCTGTATTTTTACCCGTTTTCTTCAGAGGAATTCCTTTCAGGCTGTGATGGTGACAGATGGCCGATACTCCTTCGTCATCTTTAATTACGGTGATATCAACTGGACAACAGGAACTGACAATGAAGGTGATGCTAATACTGGTCTAGGTGGTACCCCAGCTCAGGTAATGCATTATGTCGTTTGGTTTGTAGCTCCTCCTTCTTATAAACTAGGGACACGATTGTTTATATGGTAACGTGCTCATGTACATCAGTCACACCGCCAAACCGACTCCAAGCCAGTCCAGACCAATCAATTCTCCACCATGCGGCGTAATGTGATTTTCCGTTCGGTCTATTGTCACTTAGAAGTCGGTCTCATCGGATGTTTTAGACGATTCTTTTCCTAGTTTTTGTTTTACTTTTAGTTAATCAGGAATTCGAATGGCAGAAATGAACTGTCCATTCGCATAGCTTCAAGGAGTGATGCTTCGGTGTATATAATGATGCACTGCTGGAATATAAAACCCGATAAAAATGCTATGACGCATGTATCCATGACAGTGAATATACTTTTTTGTATTTTTAACTCGACCTCCACTTTGTAGTAAAAATATGAGAGGAGTATTCAAAAACAAGGAAAAATCAAATCTTGCGTAAAACCCGATCGATATTTCAAGAAAATGCTGAATCCGTCTAGTCTATTTCCACCTAAACAGAGAAAAAAAAGTTTTGCAGTAGCTTAGATTCAGAAGTATAGTCATTTTAGTTTCTCATCAACTAATATATGGTAAAACAACTGATGTTTTCACTCTTTGGGGGGGGGGGGGGAATCACCAACACCGAACTGGGCAAAAAGACATGGAATGAGACTAATAAAAACAATAATCATACCACCCGGCCCCTCAATGTTATTAAGGTACGCATATGCATGTTCCCTCCTTTTGAAAACACCCCCTAAGTCCGGTGTGTAGAGTCTTTTTTGTTTATGTACGAGCCGGACTTTGGTGCGTGAAAAGTACCCCTTTACCAGACATTTTAATAACACGCATGGTATCCCTCCGTTCACGGAGTAGGGGGGGGGGGGGGAGGGGGCGGGTCATTCCCACATCAAGTTACAGTACGTTTGTTGGGAAGTAGTGTTCATAGCTGACATGCTCAACTCTTATCTTAGGTTGGATTCAACGCTGGTGACGGAGTGAACTTTTACAGTGTCCCCGGATCTCAGACAGCGGCCATCGTCGATATCGAAACGACATCGAATATCGGTGTACCGGGAAGATGGGTGTTCAGAACGGACAACTCCAATATCGAAGGACTAGAATGTACTACCTCCGGTGTGTAACACAATATTACCATTCCCGCAATTGCTGACGTAACTATGATAATCATCATCAGCATAAATTTCCTCTTAGAAGGGGTTACTAACTTTAGAGTGTTGGTGATACTCCTTCTCTCCACTTTTTCTTGTCTCGAGCATCCTCCCCATAAAGACCAACCATACTGTTTTCTTTCTTCACCTTATCTCTCGATGAAATATTCGTTCCTCCTTTAGCCCTTATGCCATCCACTTCCACGTCATACGCTTTTTGACATCTCCATCAATCATCTTTTCTCAACTCATGACCCTCCCATGTCAATCTACTCACCCTTACCACCTTCACGACAGTTTCTCTCAGACCCAACAATTCACTTTTGTTCTTTCTTTCGGACTGCATGCTTCACACCACACATAAACAACAAACTGTTTAGAGTTAGGTATCGTTCCAATGTTTCTTTTTACATCAACATATTTTTTTTTCTTTCGATAAATTCATGGTATCTTGTAATATTTCGTAACGCATCATGAAATTGTTAAAATGAACCACTTTACTCCGGTCAATAAGTAGATATCTAACAGATATTGCAGTCATATCTTGATTTATAAATCAAAATCTTGTCGGATGACGAGGTATTGTGTGGGGGTGTGTAGGTGAGTGAGTGGTGCGAGCGTGGATGCGTGCTTGCGAGCATGCCCTCCTCACTCTACCGCATTAAAATCTTTAATGAATGACGAGATAGAAAATACTGATGGACACCGAAGTGCTTCGTATAGTGTCACGACCTTGTTTATTCTACTGTATTGACCATATGTTGGCTTTTGTCTTGACAGGTGCCGTTTCCCTATTCCCATTGGTCGGTTCAATGCTTGGCGGAACTCAGGTTTTCATCAACGGACCGTGCTTCAACGCAACCAGCCTGATTGTCTGTGATTTTGACGGAATCGAGACTTCTGGAAGACTTCTGGAAGACGAGATCGCCCTCTGCGTTTCGCCGACTTTCTACAAAGTTGGACGGATTCCCTTGCGCGTGTCTCTAGACGATGGAGTCACGTTCGATTTCACAGGATTGTTCACAATTAGTAAGTTAATATAAACATCGTCTTTAAATCTGTAAAAATGCTATTACCATGTCCACCTTGTACTGTCATCAGATCAGAATCGTTAGCTTGTGCTATAGTTATACATTGCAATACATTTTGCCGAAAGCTCTTTGAAATGAAAGTTTATGAACAAATAAATGTTACGTGCATGGTATAAATCTTAATTCGAACCAACAAAATATTTTTTGATTTTATTTGCCTCTCCATTTGTCTTCATCATCTTTCTCGGAAAATGTTTGCTATTCATATACGTATACAAAGCATAATATACAGAGCATATCAACATCATTTGAGTCTAAGCCTGGATATATTATTGTGAAGGGCTAAGAGATAAACATAGAATTTTAGCGCTTTAAATTTCTTTGTTAGGAGGTTGAGACTAGACAGTGACCTGAGCACAAGTCACTATGAACATGACGGACAAAGAAAGAGGACAAAATATACAGTAAATATCCTCTTTCTTTGTCCGTCATGTTCATAGTGAGTATGACAGATTAAATAGATTGCCTCGTTATATTGTTTATGAACCTGAGTGGGCATCATTCACAAAATTGTCAGAAGTATGAGTTCGCCTACATCCCATTGGAACGCGGGTTGATTGTAATGTAGACGTTTCAATAGGATGTCGACGAACTTGTATTTGTGATAATTTTGTCACAGTGAACCGATGTCCAGATTATCTAGACGATTTACTTTTCTTTTGTACTTATTAGTCAGTGTCGAGGACGTTCCTGACAATGTATTTTCTTCGGTAACGGAAAGCAACCAAAGAGAGTCCGACTTCGAGATCACGTGGGACACAGATGCCCTCGAAAGCGTAGACGAGGTTGACATCGTTGTCTACGGCTACCGAGAAGACAATGACGTGGAGTTTAGTGGACCTTTGGTCGTAGTGGCACAGGGAGTTGACTATCATCTCGGTCACCACAGTGTCTCAGGGCTACTAGACCCTGAACTACACTTCGACGTCGGTGTTATTGGGGTCAGGGAATCTGAAGGTCAAGGGGGAAAGTAAGAATTACATCAAATTTTATATCTTCTACTTTAAGTGTAGTTTTAGTTTATCTATCGTTCTTGATAATTAAGTCTGATGAACTATTCTCCAAGATGTGATCTCGGGGCATCAAGGACAGACGAGATATAGCTTGACATAGAAGAAGAGGCAGAAAAGACATGCTTGGATTAATATTGAAATTTAAAAAAAAAACATCATTTGAACCAATGATGGGAGACATTAATTGGGACACAACAATCGTGCAACATAGTAAATACTATAACATTGTTTGCACCACCTTCTGATTGCGCTTTGTTGGACATTAAAAAAAAAACGCTGCTCATTGAATTGCGTCAGAATGGCCCATGTAACCTGAACGTCTATATCTATGGCATCAGCTGAAAAAGAGATTTCATAAATGTATTCAATAGCATACAAACATACACTGTCTTGAGAGTACCTGGTTGAAACTATGGGCAATAGGTGACTCCAATAGTACTATTTGGTTCACCGAGACCCATAGTTTTAACCAGTATCCTTCATAAAAAGAAAATATATTATTCTTATTTATACAATTTAACAATTTATAGAATTTTAATAAAATTTAAAAATTAAAAAAAAAAATCACTATGTTTCCAACTCCCAAATATACTCCTAAACAGCACTTTTTCAGGACAACCTTAAAATGGGTGAAATATTTCTGGTCACGTAAAGAACTCTCAACCAATCAAAAACCAATAAATATTTGATGCAGGATATAATATTCACTATCACGCCAAGAAAATAATATAGATATATTGACTGCTATGAGAGGCATAGCTGTGTATATAGGTTTAAGGGGACGTTACGTCCTGCTATGACCCCTTTACTGCTATGTGTCGAATTAAAAGCAGTTCATATATCTTTTATATACCGATTTCACAAAATAGTCTACAAAGAATTTTCACCTTATTATCCTTTTCTTGAGTAAAGATTGGATAAAACACCACATAATGACAGATAATCTGAGACACTGTCTGTTATTATTTGTTGGAAAGTTGCCCTAATGTTACGATCAGTCGGGAATCGCACACACACTGTATGGTATCCGCGCTCGCACAGATAAACTATTGACACGTTAACCAATGGGGATATCAGCAAAATTTAACTATGCGGCCCCGTTACCCGAGGCAACGGGCATATTTGTCATTAACTATTGACCGTTACCCCGAATGATCGGACAATGGCTAAAATCACGACTACAATTTCGACCAATTAGATGACTAGTTTTATTCAACATGCTTTATTCCCGGTCCCCCCCCCCCCCCACTCAGGTTTCAAAATGACCGCATGCGTGTTGCCAAAATGTCCTTTTCGTAACAAAAGAAAAAGGTCGAGCCGTATTGACTTTACACACCGGACTTTTGCTGAAAAGGGGGGGGGGGGGGGGTGCGCAAAAAGGCTCGTATACAAAAGAAAAAGGTCGAGCCGTATTGACTTTACACACCGGACTTTTGCTGAAAAGGGGGGGGGGGGGTCGGTTGGAACACGCATATGCGTACCCTAAATAACACTGAGTGGGGGGGGGGGGCGGGGCTTTATTATACAGTGTGACCCATTAAAAACGAAACCGAGAATTATCGATGTTTTATCATAACTTAGGCACATTTAATAAATGGCACATATTGGGAAAGCTGAGATCTCCCTCTTTCATTTTATGCAACTCATATGTACTCATATACACTCGCATGAGTGATTAAAATGAATTTGAAGAGAGGAAATCAAAAAGTTATTTGGCGGACGGTATCTGAATTTCAAACAGAAAATCTCATTTCTAGAAAGTTGAGTTCTTGCCCTTTTATATGACACCTCAATCAGGAAAAATGAGCAAGGAATGACAAAGTTCTGTTTGTTTAAAGTAGTGCTTGCATTTCCATAATTTTATCAAACAAATTCGTTTTCACTGGTTCCTGCGGTAGCAACAAGCAGAATTGACAAAAGACTTAACTCCGTTTCGTTGACAATCAGCCATGCATGAAGTCTTTCGTCTACGGCTGATTGTCAACGAAACGGAGTTAAGTCTTTTGTTCATTCCGTTTGTTGCTACGGAAGGCAGCCAGCGAAAACGAATTCGTTTAATAAACATATGGATTTAATAAATGTAATAATTAATGTAATAATAATTAAAATTAAGTTGGATAAAGAATCTCTTATCTTTCACCTCCTGCACAATCTTGCACCATTGCACTGACGGCCATTCCCTATTTGTTTACTATCACACCACAAATAATGCAATTCATCAGTTTCCATGTGATCTTATTCAGACCAACCGTTTTGCAGGATTCTTGGAATGTGGGATATAAGTATATAATTCCTTGGATCCCTATTTTTAATTTTCTTATATTTTTCTAGTTCTACCCGTGCTGTTGTCTGGGGCAAGGTCCATGTTCTCCAGTGGTATAACGGCGATGACGCAACACATCGGTGCAATGATTGGATTCTAAAAGAAGTTTGGTCTGAACCCTTTTCGGACTTCTCGCCCCCGTGCCCATGTACACTTGACCAGGCCCAGCTTGACATAGGGAGGTTTAGTCCGCATCCGCTGTGTGATATTGACATCTTGTCGCCTAGCAACTGCGTCCATAAACCAGGGGCGATACACTGCGTACGAGCAGACACGCCTAGGTATCTTATTATAATTATTAATATGAAAGAGCTAGCTTCTCCACAATCTATTGGCGTGATTGTTAATAATCATTACGAATCCGATTACGATCCGTATAAAGCACTTTACCAGTTCAAACGTTACATGCCGAAGCGCTTACAATATTATTAACCTTGATTTAATTAAAATGTTGTACTTCACTGTGCACACTCTCCACTCCACTTTGGAGCATTCCAGCCGGACGTCATTTTTTAGGAAACCCACATGCTAATCTAAATCACATATGTAGTCCGCATACTACCGAATAGTCATTTATCCTCTGGCTGAAGAGTTGCTCTACGATCTTTGATATTCAACTTATTTTACTTTTTATATACGGCAACACTTATTACAATTTCAATTTATACTTATCAAAGTGTTAGAAATGACAAGATATGTATAGATTTTAAGATGGATATCGTGGAAAAAAGTAAATGTCTACTTATCCTTTGTTTTTACAGCACACTAGGAGGGGGACAGGAGTGTTGCTATGGTGATGAAGGAATGATCATCAATGTCCGTGATAATCTGGGAGGAGGCTACAGTCATCGTTACCACCATGGGGGCGTCACCCCATATGGAGAACCTAAGAAGGTATGATACATTTCGTATGATTATGTATTTTGGTGTGACTCTTTTTTGAACAAATTAGAAGAAGAAAAGAAAATTAGAAAAGGGTATGGTGTATAATTATGGTAAAGTAAAAAGAAAGTCAACCACACACACCCATGCACACAGTTTTGAGTTTTACTCTGAGTTTATTTGAACCTGATAGATAAAACGCACGTGTCGCGCACGTGTGGCGTAGTCCCATATACATCTTTCTGTGTACAGTGCTTGTAACTTTACCAAGAGTTTACTCGGAGTTTGAGAAAATGAGCAAAAACACAAAAAATAATGATCTCCGTGCAAGAAGAATTTATTTTGCGAATTTTCGCCCTTAGGATTTGGTCAAGTAATGATTTATTTTACTTTAAAGGTAAAGACCGGTTTTGGAAACGCCCCCCCCCCCCTTCTCAAAAAATGAAATGGAAGCTCTTATTACCAATCATATGAAAGAATATGTTTTGACTAATACATATACGTGATCATACAAATTTTGCGGAGAAACCGCCTACTAATTCATTCATTCATTTTTTTTCTTCATTCATTTCGGTTTATTGTGTCAAAATTCCAATTGATATATTTGGTAAATTATTATATTTATTTGGACCTGAAAGATATAACGCACGTGTCGCGCACGTGTGCGTAATCCATATACACCTTTCTGTGTATAGTGCTTGGAACATTGCCAAGACTGGGGCAAATTTATTATCATTTTGATGATTACCATATAGCTCCGTTTAGTCTCATTTCACAACGCCCCCTATCGTCAGAGCATGGTCAGATTCAGCAGCCTAACATGTTAGCCTATGGACGTTTTTTAAAAAATCGTTAAAAATTCATTTTTTGTTTAAACGAAAAGCACATCCACCCCGACGTACGTTATCACTAGCTCTTTCATTGGAGCCCTCATGTCTCATTGTCTTTTGAAAGTTCACCCACCGTAATTTTTCAAAATAGGTTGCAAGCTCGTCATTGCCTATAATACACATGTGAAACAAGTCTAACTTTGGACTCAGTTTACCAAGCGATTTGAAGATTATAGGTCGAGCACACGAAACATAAAAAGCATGAATTATCATAGATCACTTCTGCCTATTTCGTTTTGTCCATTTCATCCAACCCCTCACCGTAATTTTTCCATTTAGTAATAGCAAACATTTTGCCGAGTTTAGCAAAAACATGAATATTCATGAACGGTCAGACAATACAGCCTTTTAGTACGTAACGTATAGTGAATGGAAATGTGCGATGATCCGTGTAGGAGGTAGCGGTCAGTGGTTTGTGCTGGCAATGTTCACGCGAGCGAAAATGAGACAATCGGAGCAATATGAGAACCTTGCAGTACTCACCAATACTTATATGCTAGATGATCAACCTTTTCTGATCGATTCCACAACGTTTGTTTCACTCGCATCGCATGACCATTACTGGTCTTTATCTATAATTATTGTGCGTAAAAATATGCGCATCCTATCCCCATAAAATCTGCGGAGGTGCACAGAGAGAGAGAGAGAGGGGGGGGGGGGGGAGAGCACGAATAATTACGTCACATGGAGAGAATACACAGGTCACTAAAGTGGAAGGAAAACATACAGAAACAGAGCGAAAGAGAGAAGAATAAAAAAAAAGATTGAGAGAGAAAGAATGGAAAGACAGAAAAGGCGAAGATATAACACAAAAGTCAAAAACTGGAAAAGTGACAATGAGTCTATCCGGCTGCAAGCAGCCCAACCGGTAGATGATATGTTCTTCCCGTAGCTTCCGTTAATCATATGTACCACCATGTTATCTAACCACTTACAAACTTTGAGATACATACAAACATTCATATATTATTATGTATAAAAGGTAAATCCATGAAAATAACCTGAACAACAGCATTGACAACTCTCGTGGAAATAAATATAACAAAATTAAATGATAGAATAATGGTCGAGTAGTTTAAATCACAGTTACCCATTGCTGTCCTCCGATTAGCATTTTTTTTGCAAAATTCGCTTGCTTAGAACGCCAATGCATTAACCACTAGACCACTAGACAGGCCAGTTAGCTTAGGCGACACAGATTCAATTGGCTGACAAATCTTCAACCTGCGTTAATGAATTCATATGTTGGGGGCAAGTGAGTTTTGAGCAATGAGAATCCGCATGCCTCAGCTGGATCCAAGCAAATGCCTGAAGATACAATCATGTATAGGTTTGGATATTTGTCAAGGAATGTCAGGAATTATAAATCTATACAAGAGCTTTGGAAACTCAGTAAGTGTTGCTAAAGCTGCTGTATAGGTTTAATGCGAAAGGAAATGAGAGAATGGTTCATTTTTTTTTAAAGAGAACACCATTTATAATAAATACGTGCAAAACTATAGAGTGGTGAAGTGTGACGTCATCAAAAAATTAATTTTTTGAATTTCTACGTTTTTTCTTCTTTTTCTGAAAGAGCATACAAATGTCAAAATGTCGACTGGAAGACTAAGGGTGCGTTTAATCGACACTTTTTCACTCTAGAATCACGGTTTCTAAAGACGTTTAGTTTAAAACGCAATGCGTTCAAGCGATTTTTTCGATTGAACGTACGGAGTTCTCAATCATGATTGTATGACGGAGCCTGGTCCGGTTTGGGCAAAAACCGCGCGCCTGCTTTTCATGCAAAATTTTGCGTTCACTATACCATGCTCTTTATCGTGGCCTGTTCCGTTATGTTATTCCTTTTTTTCCTTCCTTTTCTCTTTCTGTCTTTCCTTATGTTATTCTTTGTTTCTTCCTTCTATTCTTATGTTATTCTTTGTTTTTTTTCTTCCATCACATTCTCTTATGTTATTCTTTTTTTTTAAATAATTCTATCACTTTCTCTTTTGTTATTCTTTGTTTCTTCCTTCTATTCTTATGTTAATCTTTGTTCTTTTCCTTCTATTAGCTGTTCTTATGTTATTCTTTGTTTTTATAATTCTATCACTTTCTCTTTTGTTATTCTTTGTTACTTCTTTCTATTCTTATGTTAATCTTTGTTTTTTCCCTTCACTCACATTCTCTTATGTTATTCTTTGTTTTAATCATTATATCACTTTCTCTTTCTGTCTTGCCTTATGTTATTCTTTGTTTCTTCCTTGTATCACATTCTTTTGTTGTCTTTCATTGTGTTATTCTTTGTCTCTTCCTTTTATTCTTATGTTATTCTTTGTTTTTTCCTTCTATCACCTTCTCTTATGTTATTCTTTTTTTTTTTTATAATTCTATCACTTTCTCTTTTGTTATTCTTTGATTCTTCTTTCTATTCTTATGTCAATCTTTGTTTTTTTTCTTCCTTCTATCAGCTTTTTTAATGTAATTCTTTGTTTTAACCATTCTATCACTTTCTCTTTCTGTCTTTCCTTCTCATTCTTTGTTTTATTATTGCGATCTATGCTCAAAACAGCAGTCAACAGTCTGCCGTAAACAATTCCAAAAAGCGCGCACCGAAGTTGACCTATACTTCCTGGGTCAAACTGCGAGTGTGATCCGCAGTGGCTGGGCTCGAAATGAGCTAGAATCAGCGTTGATGAAAAATCGCTTGAACGCTAACCGCAGTGACCTTGTTTTTTTGTAATGGCGTTTTGATGTGTGATTCATGTTTGTGATTCTAGCTTCGAAAATTCGATTGAACGCACCCTAAATGAATATGATAAATATTGGCTGAGATATGACCATCTGAATGAATAGATTTCGAAATGTTATGAACCAGAGCAAAATAACACAGAGTTCATATAGGAAATCCATTTGTTCAGATGATCATATCTCAGCCAATACTTAACATATTAAATTAGTTTTCGACATTTGGACATTATTTTTAATGATCTTTCCGAAAATGAAGATTTTTTTTTATAGAAATTCTTCAAATAGACTGTTATGATGTCACAGCTTCGGTATTCTATGGCCCGAATTCACAAAGGAGGTTTAGATTTAACACACGGTTTAACGCCGTCATAATACGTCATAACACCGAGCTTTAGACCATGGGTCATTATTTTGGTATTCACAAAGGAGGTTTAGATTTAACCCACGGTTTAACGCGTCATATTACGTCATATTTTTAGCCTGCTCAGAGGGCCGGGTGGTTTAAACAGCGGGCTAAATCTAACCCACAATTTAACGCGTAATATGACGTCATATCGGCGAGCTTTAGCTTTCGATCGATCGTACAGATTATGTTGACAGATTTATGGTGAAACAAAGCGAAGAGACATTCACAAAGTGAATTTAAGTAGCCATAGTTTAGACCATGCAGCGAGTGCATTTAAGTCTCTCTGTAGTATGTCACAATCATCTTTCGATGTTATTTGGCGGTAAATCTTGGTATCATCAGCAAAAATCTACGCAGTAGTGAGAACCATATCGGGAATGTCATTTACGAAGATTAGAAAGAGGAGCGGCCCGAGAATGGACCCTTGCGACACGCCGCTTGTCACCAACCTCCATCTTGAGGCGCCGTTCCTTAGCACTACTCTTTGTCTGCGTCCAGTTAGGAACCCCTCAATCAAATTGAGAATGTGTCCTCGGATACCATTGTGCTTGAGGTTGTATAACAGTCGACGATGGGGGACGGTATCGAATGCCTTTCGAAAATCAAGGTATATGACATCCATTCCTTTCGCTTCATCGTATGCTTTAGTCCAGTCATAGAGACATTCCAAGAGCTGTGTCACACATGAAAACTTTTTCTGGAAGCCGTGTTGGTGACATGAAATCATATCATTGTCTACTGCATGTTCCATCAGTTTGTCGTAGATAATTCACTCAAGAAGCTTTACCACTTGACTGGTAAGGGAGACTGGTCTATAGTTGTTTGGAGACAACCTGGATCCCTTCTTGAAGAGTGGAGTGATATTTGCGTCCTTCCATTTTGGGGGTATGCTTTCAAAAAGAGTGAACGAGCATAAGCGTACCCTAAATGACACTGAGTGGGGGGGGGGGGGGGGGGGGGGTATCTGTCCGGTTCGGATAGATTGATCA